GCCCCCTGTTCCCTGTACCCCCAGCTCCCTTCCACAGACACCCCCAGCCAGCCATGGGGGCCCTGCCCCGTGTGGGGGACCCCAGCACTGTCCCCTGTTCCCTGTACCCCCAGCTCCCTTCCACAGACACAACCCAGCCAGCCATGGGGGCCCTGCCCTGTGTGGGGGACCCCAGCACCGCCCCCTGTTCCCTGTACCCCCAGCTCCCTTCCACAGACACCCCCAGCCAGCCATGGGGGCCCTGCCCTGTGTGGGGGACCCCAGCACCGCCCCCTGTTCCCTGTACCCCCAGCTCCCTTCCACAGACACCCCCAGCCAGCCTTGGGGGCCCTGCCCCATGTGGGGGACCCCATCACCCAGAACTGTACTCCCAGCTCCTTCTACAGACATGCTAAGGCCCAGCCACCCCCTGCCCTGTGCCCAGAGCTAGCCATGGAGGAACCTTGCCCCCTCCCCAATACTTGTAACTTGCTCCCCTTGTACTGGCACCTCCTGCCTCCAATACACTGGTGCCCTGTTCCCCAGGCACAGAGCCAGCAGTGGGGGATCCCTGCCAGATAAATCCAAATCTGTTACCTCCTCCCCTCACCCCATAGAGCCTGTAGGAAATGACATAGCTCTATTTGAAAACACTGAAACTGGCTCCTAATGAAGCAGGAAACCGATGAGCCCTGTCAGCAAGAAACATGTCACGAATAAAAGGGCTGAGCTTGAAAAATCTCATGCAACCCCCCCACCCCACCCCATAGGCGCCTGTGAAAAGGGGTCCTGCTCCTTCCTAGCCACTGGCGCAAGCTCACAAACACCACAGTGGAACAGAGGAGCGAATGGCACAGGTGCTGGTGCGGCCTACAGGACTGTACTATTGCAAATGGCGGGGCAGACGTTCAGTACTAACCAGGCAAGCGAATGGCAGCGTGTTTAGTAGGCACTGCAGAGGTGAGAATGGCACCCTTGGATGTCTAGAGCTGTGTCATCCCTGCCAAACCAGCCTGTAGTTCAAACCCCTTTGCTGCCCATCCCGAGGAAACCCCGTGTGACTGAGAGAATTGAACAGAAATCGTGGTAGAAGTTCCCAAACCCAGACACAATCTCCCTCTTGGGGAAGCAGTGTTGCCTCCTAAGGGGCTTCTGCTGTACCGATTGGAGGCCAGTAATCTATAGATTCCAAGGCCAGAAGGGAACACAGGGACCATCTGGTCTGATCTCCTGCATAACGCAGGGCAGAGACCTGCCCCACAATAATTCCTAGAGCAGATCTTCTAGAAAAATATCCAGTCTCCATTTAAAAATGGTCAGCGATGGAGAATCCACACCAACCTTTGCTAAATTGTTCCAGTGGCGAATTATCCTCTCTGTTAACAACACACACCTTATTTCCAGGCTGAGTTTGTCTAGCTTCAACTTCCAGCCATTGGATCATGTTAGACCTTTGTCTGCTAGATGGAAGAGCCCATTATCAAATTTCTGTTCCAGTGTAAGTTCTTCTAGATGGTAATCGAGTCACCCCTCAACCTGCTCTTCGTTAAGCTGAATAATGAGCTGCTTGAGTCTGTCATTGTAAGGCAGCATTTCCAGTCTTTTAGTTATTCTCGTGGCTCTTCTCTGAACCCTCTCCAGTTTATCAATGTCCTTGAATTGTGGGCATCAGACCTGGACACAGTATTCCAGCAGCAGTCCAGCATGATGTCTCCCCAGATATTTTTCAGTTACTGCTCTCCAGCATATAGTCCCCCATCCTGTTAGAATGGCCTACGTTCTTTGTTTCCAGATGGATGCATTTCCATTTATCTGTTTTAAAACGCATTGTTTGCTTTCACCCAGTTGGCCAAGCGATCTAAATCAGTGATTTACCCACTTCATTATTTACCACTCTCCCAATTTTTGGTAAATAACTTAATCAGTGATTATTTTTTGTTTTCTTCCAGGTCATTGATAAAAATGTTAAATAGCTTAGGGCAGAAAATCAGTCTCTGTAGGACCCCACGGGAGTCCGGGGCTTTGGAGCTGTGCTCTGGCTCCGCTCCAGCTCCAGGCAAAAACCTGCAGCTCCACTGCTCCGGAGCTGCTCCGCGCTCCAGCTCCGGGCTCCGCTCCAAAGCCCTGCGGGAAACACACCTGCTTGATAATGATTCAGTTTACATTCACATTTTGAAATCTACCAGTTAACCAGTTTTTAATCCATGTGATGTGTGCTGTGTTAATTTTATAGTTAAATTTTTTTTAATCAAAATGTCATGTGATACCAAGCCAAACACCTTGCAGAAGTCTAAGTATACTACGTTAACACTGTTACCTTTATCTACCAAACTTGTCATCTTGTCAAAAAAAAAATACCAAGTTAGTTTGACAGGATCTATTTTCTAAACCCCTAGTGACTGGCATTAATTACATTACCTCCTTCAAATCTTTATTAATTGAGTCCCATATCAGCAGCTCCATTATCTTGCCCAGGATCTATGTGAGATTGACAAGCCTGTAATTAGCCAAGTCATCCCATTTACTGTTTTTAAAAATGGCACAACATTAGCTTTCTTCCAGTCTTCTGGAACTTCCCTGGTGCTCCAAGACTTACTGAAAATCATCATTAACAGTCCAGAGAGCTCCTCAGCAGCTCTTTTAAAACTCTTGGGAGTAAGTCATCTGGACCTGCTGATTTAAAAATCTCTGATTTTAGTAGATTCTGTTTAACATCCTCCAGAGATATTACTGGAATGAAAAGTGTGTTATCATCACTCTAGGAAGAGACTGCACCATTTGTCGTCCCCCTTCCCCCCCCCCCCAAATACAGAACAGAAATATTTATCCAACACTTCTGCCTTTTCTGCATTATTACTGAGTTTTACTGTTTCCATCTAGCAATTGACCAATACCATTGTCAGGATTCTTTTTGCTAATATATTTTAAAAAACTTCTTACTATCCTTAACTCTGCTGGCCATAGATTTCTCCTTGTGCTTCCCTTATTGATTTTCTACAGTTCCTTAGTTCTAATTCATATACATTACCATCCGCTTCCCCTTTCTTCCATTTATTATTTTCTAGAGCTGCCTTCACTAACTCCACCCCAGGTTGCTGCTTTTAACAAGCAAAGCCTTCCTGCCCCTTTGGCCTAGCATTTGCATGCAGCATCACTAGTGATGCACTTGTCTGTTGTGATAGGCAGCAAGCTGTCAGTCCTTTGGGCCTTCTGAAATGATACTCGTTTATCAGCTTCCAGCACCATCCTTCAAATGTGTTTTGTTCTTTGATCAAGGAGTTGCTCTTTTCTTGTTTGTGAAGTGCCATGCATGCACACGGTACTGTATAAATAATAATAGTTACACAATCAGTGCGGCTTCTTCCCAGCACCCAGATTATCTACATACATTATTAGACCATCTTTTTGTATCTTGCAAACCACACCAGCCCAAGCTCTCTCCCTCAGGGGTTAAGCATATAAGAGCGATTTTATACTGGGAATGAAAGTCACAGCTAAGAGTGCTGTTCTAATCTACTGCAAATCAGCAAAGGAAAGGGTTAATCTTATGCTTGGCTTTCCCTTGACATCAGCAGGGGTTTCCCAGGCCCTATAGTCTTTTGTCCTAGTTGATGAAAAACCACCTCTTTAATTCCTCCTCCTCATTTTTTACTCCTGGAACAGGAAAACAAAGTCCAAGTATTAATAGGGGGAAATTTGCAAGGGTAAGAGGCTGAGACCGAACTGGCCAGAGGAATCTTTGAAGCCTCTAGCTCAGCGGTTCTCAAACTCTGGGTTGCGACCCCATTTTAATGGGGTCACCAGGGCCAGCGTTACACTCGCTGGGCCCCGCCGCTTGGGGCTGAAGCTGGAGGGCTTGAGCCTGGGGCAGCAGGGCTCTGCCCCCCCCAACTCAGCCCAGGGTGGGGGGGCTCAGGCTCTGGCCCCCTCCCACCTGGAGTCACGTAGTAATTTTTGTTGGCAGAAGGGGGTCATGGTGCAATGAGGTTTGAGAACCACGGCCTGGCTTTCCAAAGGACGCTGCAGAGCTAAGGGATAGGTCCTTAATAGAAAAGCCTGGGATCAAAAATTGCAGAGTCACTGGAATCTTTCCTGTCTCAGGGCCCATGTTCTCCCCTGCAACCTTCCAAAGTGCAGGACTGCAAAAGGGTTGGGTGCGCAGTGGATGCAGTAACTCAGCAAATGGGGTCTCAGGGAGCTGCTGTGGGGAGATCCCCTTGTGATCAAACCACTGCACCACTGTTGATTATCTTACCTCCTTACTTGAATGAAGTCCAAAGGCTTCCTTTGTCACCAGGAATATCCCTGCTTGCCTCCACCTGGTAAATATAAGCGGAGTTTGCTGAGACTCTGACGCTGAGCTCTCAGCAGCGCTGGTCTCTGAGGTCTGGGGACTAAAGGAGAGGTCTGGATGTGTCCGTGGGTGTTGCACCCCACATCCCCAAGTTCTTTTCTCCAGCGCGTTTCAAGCAAGAATCAAGAGTGGTTCTTTACATCCAGCCTCTCATCCTTCTCGGTGAGTGCAATTAGTCTTCCTTTAGGCCCTTTCTGTCGAGAAGCAGCCTGTCTCTCAGTCATTAAAGCAAGGCTGCCTAGACTAGAGAGCAATCCTCGCCCCTTTCTGCTGGCAGCTGACATCATGGAGGAAGCTGCATTCACATGGGCTGGTGGTAGAATATTGTTCTTTCACTTCTGCTATTTTTCTTCTTTTGTTGCAAACTCTCTTTAATAATAAGCCTGGCTGTGGGCTCATTCTGACAGCTGATTCACCAGTTTCTGATTGCAAGGGGCTGCAGTGAACCAGGAAGAGGATCTGAGAAGTCATTTTGGTTTAAACTAAAGGGGAGAGACAAATGCTGATCTGATTTTAATTAGGCATCTGTTTAGTAAGGTTAAGTTTGGTGAGGGGTTGATGCATTCAAAAGTGAGCGCATGCGTGTGTGTGTGCCCAGTATTTTTGCTGCCAATTGGGTGAGTGATCTGCCATAGGAAAAGAACCTTGGAATTGTTACTTGTAGATTTTTGCAGTGATGCTGCCACCCCCTAGAATTCAAAAATTCATGAGTCAGACCCCCAAAATTAATGAGATTGGAAAAAGCAAAACACACAGGGTTCTTTTTATTTACCTTCTGTTTTTGTAGCCATTAGCTCACGCTCGAGTCAAGTTTCTTCCCTGTAACCACTAGGGCTAGAAAAAACTTACTTTTAATTTTTTTAAATTGAAAGCTGAGATTCTGACACATTCCCGTGACTCCAGGAGGTGGGGTTTCAGGAAGTACTCCAACTAGTGCAATATTTGCTATTAAAAACACAAGAGTTAGCAGGACTGATTAATAAAGAGACTTTTTTCTGGAATGTTTTTTGGTTTTGGATCTAGTGAAAAATTCTCTTTCAACTATGGGCGAAACGTTCTCCCGGTTCTGGAAGGTCTCCGACCAGAAGGAGAGGGGAGGGAAATCGATTCTGCGCAGGAAATCGGCTGATGAGGATGAAGTCACCAATTATGGCACTATCAATGGAGGAGACTCTGCCGCATCCTGCATGCCCTGTGTGGGCACTGTGAGTCGGGGCTGCATCAACTGCCCAACGTGCCAGGGAACGGGAAGGATCCCCAGGGGTAGGTGGTTCTTGTGTGTGCTTGGTCAGTGGTTTCCAGCCTTTCCAGGCACTTCACCAAACAGACCTCTGCTTGTTGCGTCTCGCTCAGCTGTGCGTCCTATGGAACACCAGTCATGATGGAGCATTGCATGCTGTGACCTGCAGGCTCCATCTCTGTACTAAAGAGAGAGCCTGCGATCGGCTCCATCTTGCGTTAATCAGTGCAAGACCTGGGGCTGTTGGAAGGTATCCGTGCAGCCCCAAGTTAGCCAAGCTCAGTCTGTCTCTGTGCTTGGCTGAAGCCAACAAGGGTTATTTGAGTTAGACCCCTGCATCCCTCTGATGGGGCAGCATTTGTAACGAGAATACTGATGGACCCTAAACTGCAGCCTGATGTGCCCTGTTCACTACTGCACCCAGTGCGATGCATCTCTTCTGACCTGCGCCTCTTATCTTCTGTCTTTCAGAGCAGGAGAAGCAGTTGGTGGCTCTGATTCCATACGGTGACCAGAGGCTGAAGCCCAGACGAACGTAAAGTCCTGTTTCTCCCTTGTTCTTTTAATGCTCTGGCTGCGTTTAAATGGGTGCAGCTGGGGGGCGCAGCATTACAGGAGGAATCTGTTTGCAGAGGTTCATTTAAAAGCTTCGTTGCTCGTTGGGCCCCGAGCTGCAGTGGGTTTTGATGCCTGCAGGGCATCTGTCCTGTGTTGGCAGTGGGCTGTAGTAGCACTTCTTGATGCAGGAGGGACTGTGGGCTGGGATTCTGGCCTAGTTCTGTTTGAAAAGGGCCATGTGGGACTGCTGACTTCCAGCAGTGACAAGCAGCATGTTTCTGGGTCTGAAACCCACCCCCTCCTGGCCCCAACGTGAACGTGCTGCCACTACTGCACAATCCCTTTGCAGGCCCTCATGTCTTGGTGCTTACTGTGTCTGAGCTGGCACTCGTGCCACCCTGTGCTTGTCCAACCCTGTAGAGTCAGGGCTGCAGGACAGGGCTGGACCAGGCGAGTTACGATCCTTTGATGCTGTCTTGCAGGAAGCTCTATGTGTCCCTTGCCGTGACGATTTGCCTGCTGATGTCATCTCTCATCATCTTCTTCCTGTTCCCTCGCTCCATTGCTGTGCAGCCCGCAGGGCTGAATGCCTCCTCCATTGCCTTTAATTCCACCGTTCTCAGTATCGATCTCAACATGACAGTGAGTTCTCAGCGCAGCGCGTACGGTGACATTGAGCTCGTATCTCATTCTCAGTCCATAGCTTGGCTCACTTCTAAGCCTTGAGGATAGCGCGGCAGGTCAGTAGGGAGCTAGGTGGCAGAGCTGTGTGCACATAGTGGGACAGCAGGCGAGACTGGAGTGGCCCGTCAGAAATGAGGCATGTTGGAGCAGAGTGTGATGGAGCAGGAGGTGCTGCTGGGTGGAAGTGAGCTATGTAACAAATGCTGGGAATTTTGTCGCTGTGTGTTGCATCTTTCCTCCGCTTTCAGCCCAGCCATGACTGCGGGACAGGGAGCAGAGCGGGGGCAAGTGATCCCCAGAGCAGCTCTGGGGCAGGTGAGCAGCTTTGCTCCTGTAAAGAGCTAGTGACTCTCACCCAAATGCGATGTTGGGTGTTTCCTTGGGACAATCCTCAGCAGAGGGGAATTGCCACGGCTCAGCTACCAGTGTCTGAGGACTGGCGTTTGCAGGGGTGTGCTGCTGCAAGGTCACTGCATGGAAATCCAGCACACGCGTTACCCTCGCTGTGTGAGGGCTTCGGGCTGAGCTTGTCTCTCTCCTTAGAACGTGTTGAATGTAACCAACAACAACTTCTACCCAGTCACTGTTACCCAACTGGACATTGAGGTCTTACACCTGTCCGTGGTGATAGGGAAAACCACCAAGAAGTACCTGCTGAATATCGGCCCTTTGCACAGCAGCCAGGTGGGTGCTGCTGCCTCTTGCTGCCCTATCGAAATGTCTGGCCCCCTTTGGGTGGGGAGAAATAGTGGTCCCCTTCTCTGTTGCCTTGTAGTTCTATTGCCCCAGGGGCAGAGCATCCCTTCACTGCCTCCCCCCCCCCATTCCTGTCTTTCCAGGTGCCCATTCACTTGCTGGCCCAGGGCAGTACTTAGCAAACACGGGAGGCAAAAGACCGAATGCTGAGGTCTCATATGGGTGTTTCTTGCACCGGTTCATGCTGCGTATTGTAACTCTGTCGAGATCTGCCATGTTGTAACTTGGTCCCAACACAATGTGGATTGGATTTTAAATACTGGCTCTGAGCTGTGTGGAATTGATGGGATCATCTTTAATTCTCTCTGTGCTCGGCTCACTGGGCTGCACCTGTACATGGTTACTGTAATCTCTCTAAATCTCCAACTAACTCGTCTGTTTTACTTGCAGATCTATTATGCAGTCTCCAGTATTATACGGGACTATAATACCTAGTAAGTATTTCTCAGAGACTTACTTACCAGCCAGGAAAGTAGCATTAATGTTTCTGGGCTTTTCTCAAGGGGCAGTCTGGCATAAATTTATAACTTGGGCGGTAGCCTCATTCTAGCTGACCCTGCAGTGCAGCTGAGAATGTGTCCCTTTGATTTTCGTGTATGTAATCATGTTGGGACAGAAACCCAGCATGTCCATTTTACATTCCTTTCTAGTTCTTCTGCAGTAAATGTTTTCCCAGCCTGCAACTGACAAGACTGTATCACTTTCAAATCTAATATCCCCACAGATTAATAAATCTGGTTTGGAAATGCCTGATACAAATTAGTCCATCTGTGTGCAGTTAAGTGTATCTACCACCCCCAATCTCTGTGAATGAGCAGTTTACTGATTCTCCACAGGCATCTTGTGCGATCTGTTTCCTGCTCTGCCCATGGTGGGGAGATGTCAGGTGTTGCTGGAATGTGAATTCTCCCACCTTGTTCTGCTTGATGCATTTGCAGGAAGGGTGTCAGGTCTACACTACAAACTTCTGTTGAGGTTGTGATCTCTGACCAAATTAGCTACGTCAGTAAAAGCCCCTAATGTAGATGCAGGTATACTGGCAAAATGGCACTTTCACCAGAATAGCTTATATTGCTCAAGGAGGAGACGGGGGCATGGCTGGAATAAGTTTTGTCAGCTAAAGGTTTAAAGGAATAAGGTTTGCCAGTATAAGCAGTCTCCATACAAGGAGTGCTTTGCCAAGTAAGCCGATCGGTCCAGCCACATAGGCAAAGTCTTCCAAGTGTAGATCTGATCGGAGAAGCACTTCGGAGAAGCTTGCGCTCTCTCGCCAGGCCTGGGTTGCTCTGTGGTGCAGGACGGGTCTTGTGTGATGAAAACATTGTACTGCAAAATTAAGTCTCTATTTTCTGTCTCCTAAGCAACATCTGCACCTGGATCAAAATCAAAGTCCACAACGTTCTACTGCACATACAGTAAGTGGCGTTTGGTTAAAAGCGAATCACTCGCTGTTGATCTGCGTGGTCCCAAACATTCCTCACTGAGGCGATCTGGATTTCTCTTTGTATTAGTGCTTTCAGAGACCAAGACTGTTCGAAGTTGTAATTAGTCTTTCCCCAGGTAGGTTTGCAACTGTTGGCGTGGGTGTGTCACAGTTATTTGAATTTCAAGGGGGAAGTCACCCAAGCTATTGGTGCAGGGGAGCATGCCTGGACTTCAGCCCCAGGCAGCTCCAGCAGTGCAAACCCAGAGTGTTGGTGAGGTGACTTGTACAGTGGTACTGTTTCTGCCTGCATTGGGAACAGCTATACCTGTGTCTGGGGTGAATGGTGCAGGAGGAGAATGAGCTTGGCCTGTTCCCCAAAGGATAGATCCTGTACATCCCCCATGTTGGGGCAGAGTGACTCAGACTCGTGCTTGAGGTCTTCAGCATTTGAACAAAGACCCCAGCTGCTCAGATGGCTGAGACACCAGGGTGTGAAGGAACCAAGCACATTCTCTCTTCTGCAGACATCCTGCCCTGGACCCATCTTCTGCAGACAGCCTGGCTGCAGAGGAGGTCCTGGCCAGGAAGATGGCCTGAAGGCATTGCACTCAGCTTGACTGCATGTGAATTGTGCTGTATTTTGAATGAGCCAGTGAGAGCAGCCCACACCAGGCAAACCGAGAAAGTTTTGCCGCCTCCTCCTGCAGAGGTGGGAGTGAGTGTAGGCCCACACAATCCTTCCCAGGGGTTGGTCAGTAACATGACCCAGAAACTGACCTGCCATTGACAGCGGTTTCCTGTCTGGTGGCCAATGGAGCAGTGACCACAAACCCATTTCCAACACTGTTCTTGAACCATGGCTTAGAGTGCGGCTCTCAGCTGCGGCCCATGTGACCTCCTCGGGGCCATACAGGTAGTATTGGATGCGGCCCACATAACACATTGTGGGCTGCAGATGCAGCCCGCAATGGTAAATAAGTTGAGAACCACTGGCTCAGACATAGTGCGGCCAAGTCCCTGTGGTACATTCTGGGATGAGAATGGTTTGGCCCGTCTGCTCTAGCAGTTAAACAATCTGTATCCCCTCTGATACAGGTACCGAGACCTAGTGTTGACAGGGCTGAGTATCGAGTAGGATGGTGTGAATATCTGCAGTGGCGCTGGGCCGAGCGGCTACAGCTCCTGCAGTCACACCATCTTTCTGCTGGCCATCGTTGTCACTCGCAGGAGGCAGAAGGTGACCTTTGCTGCCTCTCTTCTGTGTTGTGCCACTTCCCAGTGGTGTTAGCCCTGTGGTGCCTGGCATGGTAGGGTACAAACTATTCTTTGCTGTAACACTGAGAACAGAATGGGAAGGTATGTGCTGCTGTCGCGCTACGTTGTCGCTTCGACTACGCAAGTGCTCGGTTTGTTTGGCATGACCTTTAAGGAGCAGGCAGAGGTGCAGAGGCTGTAGCAGTGAATGGGTCCAGCTTTAAAGGCTGTGTTAGAAGAACATTGCAGATTGCTGATAGGGGATCGCTTAAATGCTGCCTTAAAAATTAATGTGGTCTGAGGGAGCCCCCTACAAATGTGTGAAACGGGGCAGCTTGGCCTGGACTTGTGGTGTGAGTGGTTTGGCGTTTCAGAGTAAGAAAGACGAAAATTGTGCGAGTGGTTGGGAAAGACCACAATGGAACTTTAAGGAAAAGTGAAATCCCAGCAGAAGATCCAGCTTGGTGCTTTCAAATCTCTTTATAGTTCAAGTAAAATGGATTATTGTGTGTTGCAGGGGCACCCTAACCTGCTCGTACCTGTGCCACTCGGAGCAGCTGGCTTTTGAGAGCTACAAGTATGTGGACTGTAGAGGGAATGCGACGCTGCCTCACCCGCTGTACCACCGCCCACCATGATGGGGTCACTGGACGGTGACATTCTTCTGTCGCAAAGGCAAGTTGTACCAGGGACACAGCAACTCCAGGGGCTTCTCGTCCAAGCCACCGTGATTTTAAACAGGACGTTTGGCTCTCCCTTGGGAGGAGACGTTCAGTCTGCTGCTGTTTCCTGGTTACAGACTGAAAGAATTTCATGAACTTGGAACACGCTGCTCTGAGTTTGCAATTCCCCTTTGTATCCTGTATGGGGGTTGGCATCAGCAGAGTGTGCACACTGTATAGGGAAATTGCTGTATTAACTGATTAAGAGAACTCTGCTAGGTTGTTAGCTGCCTTGTCCTGTGCAGTATTTCACTATTGCACTAGGGGAGGCATTACCTGTTGGTCAAATCAGCTCTCCTGCCAAATAACATTTTTGTGCCTGTGCCCTGTGGTGTGGGCGCTCTTGGCTGGAGAGCATCCCCTAGTGATTATTGGATAGCAATCACACCCCGGCTCTGCGAAGCAGGGAGAAACCCAACTGCACTGACATCTAAGAACCTCTGGCTCTTAAATAACAAGCACTGAATAATGGGCTAAAACTCTGCCTGGTTTGCACCGAGAGGGGTAAGGGTGGTGTAGTGGATGTCGAGGGAGGCTGGGTAAGTATGTTCAGTCCCTGACTTTTCCTAATCCTATCAGAGGGATTGTCTCGCATGAAGGGTTGTGCAGTCCAGATCGATGCAGCGGCCACGGTCTATCTTGTACCCAAAGTGATCAAATTCTGCTGCATCCTTGCAGCATGGAGGCAGGGAGGAGAGGGATTGCTACTTCCCAGATGGCAGAGGAAGGTGAGGGGCCCATCATGCATTCTCCACACAGCACATGCCATTTTCTGGGGCACTCCCTTGTGGGCTCCTGTATTAAGGAGTTTAACTTTAATGAGTGGCAGGAGTCTTACTTGGATAAGAAAAGCTCTGTTCATGCAAATGCCAGGAAACAACAGTTGCCGTTTATACCTATTTGTAGCATTTTCTATGAGGGAAGGAGCTCTGGCCGCTCTTCCACCCTCTCTCCAGAGCCTTGTACGGTACAGACTCATTCTCTGTAGGAACAGCTCAGGCAGAGGATGCACACTCACGTTACTGCCTGCTAGACCCATGGGCATAAGCACCCTCCTTAGATCCCAGCGTTGCTAATGACTGGCACATTCTGCCTGGATGGATGGATGTATAGAAATTGCTGGGCATATGATCTGACCCAGAGCAGCCCAACATCGCCCTAAACGCCTCTCCAGCCAGATGGGACACGGTGGGAAAAGCAACATGCATCAGAGTAGTTGGGAGAGGAAACCTTTGTGCCTCAGCAAAGAACTAATCACCGTCCACAAGACCCCTGCCCCTGGGGTGGCACTCAGCAGAGACTCCAAGGAGCCTGACCTTCCTAGAGGTCCCAGCAGGGCAGTGTTCTGTAGCTTGCCTTTCATTTACCTGCTCTGTGGATCCAGAGGTCCAGTCTCCAGGGCTCCCAAACTAGCACATTTCAGCGGAGGCATGTTAATCATTAAGTGTCTTTTCCTGATCGTTTATATGTTCCATGAAGGTTGCCATGGATTAAATCCCTGCCTGAGGCAGGGGCGAGGAAGCACCTTGTGTTCTGAAAGCGTCTCTTGTCCTTTTCCATCATCTCTCACTGTATGTTTGTATTCGCGGTGTTGTTGCACCTGCTCTGCTATTCTCTTCTCGCTGTCTCTGCCCCGGCACAGTTGTTGAGAGCTGGCTGTGCTCTGGCATGGCTGTGCCTGTGTTATATGCCTGCATCAGTCTGTTCACAAATAAAAAGGGCTTTGTAAAATCAGAGTGGTGCTTTCTCCTTATGATCTGACCTGGGACAACTCCTGGGAATGCTGAGCGGGGACCTGATTCCCTGGGGAAATCAGTCTCCACATAGCGTTACAGTGACACCTGCTGGCCAGTGGGAGTCACTGCATATTATGGCTTAAAAAGGGAGGAGGGAGGTTTTAAATGGGAAAACCAAGGCCTCCACGAAGGTGCATGCTGAACATCCCCTCCCAGGAGAGCAATGTCCAGGGACACCCAGGGTTTTGCAGCTACTTTCTGCCAGAGGCCTGAGGCAGGAGTTGCTCTCATCGGCTGGTTGTGCCTAGCAGCATCCTACAGGGCAGTTTCTCTGTAGCTGTAAATGCAGCACACTGAGATCAAATTCTATTTACAGGCCTTTCTTCAGTGTCTGATCACCTCCCGTACGTCAGTGCATTTTCATCACAACCCACCCCGTGAGGAAGGGATGTGTGACTATTTCAGCTTTACAGATAAGGAATTGAAAGGAAAGGGACTTGTCTGAAGTCATGCAATGAGTTAACAGCAGGGCTGGGACCAGAACCTAGATCTCCTAACTCCCAGTCCTGTTCCTAAGGCACAAAACTATCCTCCGCTGCCTGATGTTTCTGTGGGTTAGAATTTGGCCTCTTAACTAGAACATTTTCAGTATCTACAATGGACTGCTGTGGGGAAAGGGTTTGTCTTCCCCTCTGTGGGTTATTAAAGTTGGTGCAATTAGGTGAGGAGGGATGGAGCCCCCACAGTCACTCTGTTAGCAGCTGTTGGAAGGATGAATGTGTCAGGGTAGGAAAGAAGCAGTGTGTAAAAAATCCTGAGCTGTGCTGATGCTGGCACTGGCAAAATGTTTTTCCAATAATAACAACTTACAAGAAATGTCAGAGGCTTCCTTGCCCCCCCCCCCCAAAGAAAAGGTGGGGGGGCGCAATTGAACAATACTAACTTGGACTGAGAAGGACAATCTGATTCCTGACCGACTGTAAGCAGCGGAGTGTAACTGGCTAAAATTGTCACTTTCCTCAGAATTTTGTCTATCAAATCAATTTTCAGTGTGTGGACAGGTGACACTAGTTTAAAAGTTCTACGTCAATTCTTAAGGATGCTGCTTTCTTTGTCTGAACTTAGCATAGTTTTCATATAAAGTACCTGGCCTTGGTTGGTTGCAACTGTCTTAGCAGGGAGGTGGCAAAGTGAATGGACTATGTGCAAATGCAGGGTGTTCTTAGTTGCCTAAGAGAGACCATCCCTCATAATGTTCTGTGGGTGTGGAGAGTTTATTACACATTAAGGGTTACAGCCCCTAATGGGAAGTGGCCGGCAGGTCCTGTGTGTTCTTCATGCTGATGGCTTCGTTATGGTGTTGGATTCAGCTGCACTTGTCTGGATCTCCTTGGTGCTTAAAGGCATGTTACTAGGCGAGGAGTCATTCCTGCATTGCTGGTTACTCGGTCATTACCATTGTTGTATGTATTGCACAGCCTGGAAGGGTAAGGAAAGATAATTTGCCTCCAAGTTTCTCGTGTATAATGGGAGGGTGCATGGTGGCTGTTCTATGCCATATCATTTTATAATTTGGGGGGTGGGGGGATTTGTAAAAGATTTAAAAACAAAATGAACCGTTTTCTTACCATTCACAACTGAATTTCAAAGAGAGGTGAGGAGTGGGCAGCAGAGGGGGGTTAAATAATGATCCACTATTGGCAAGAAAACAGTTTTGTGCAGAACTGAGAGGAATTTACCTCCAGCAACAGTCCAGGTGACTCTCTTGTTGATAACTCCCCGTTATGCCGGTATAAAGGCGCTGAACTGGAGTAAATTAGGCTGCTGTAGGCCCTTTTATACCAGTGTAACTGCATTCACGCCAGGAACATTTTTCCTGCTTTAGCTATACCGGTATAGTTAAAGTGGCAAAACACCTAAGAATAGAGAGACCCTAATTCTTGATGTGGATGAGATTTATTAAGATTGCTGTGATGGCAACAAAAGATGAAATCTCTTAGGGAATTTCCTTGCAGAGAAACCCAGGATGCTCGTGCAAAAGGGTCACACCCTTACATCAAAGAAGCGAAGAACTAATTCTTGCTCCCAACTCTTTTCTCACCCCTTCCCCATCAACTTACTGAGAATCGACGTGGCAGTTTTGCGCTGCTTATCGTCACGTAATGACACTTGCATGGGCAGCACTGGCAGGAGCAGGTGACGTCTGAAACAAATCACGAGTTACTAACCAAACTCAGTTGCCTTTGCAGAAACTCTCTCTCCAAATGTGAATTTATTTTACTAAATGCCTTTGCCCTGAATGACTGCAAAACCATGAAGAGCGATAGACCCACCCACACTGCACCTCTGGGACAAAGGCAGATTCACAAGAATTACTTGACATGCCTGTGTTGCTCATACTGCCATAAAACTGCAACAAGTAGTAAGAAGATGAAATGAAAAACTGGCCCAGTGAAAGGGATATGCCGTGATGCATTCAAGTTTAGGATTGGCCTCAGATGTGTAGCTTCATTGGTTTATGAAGCTAACATTAAAGGATTGACTTTATCTTTAGAACACTTGATACAATGCTGCATGAGAGAGAACTGCCCCTCTGCTTTTCACTTCCATCTTAATAGTGCTGAGGAAACCTAGGCCTGGGCTACACTACCGGGGTGGTTCGAACTGAGATACACAACTTCAGCTGTCGAAGTATCTTATTCGACTTACCTGGCCGTCCTCAGGGCAGCGAGTCGACTGCCGCAGCTCCCCCCTCGACTTCGCTTACTCCTCCTGCCGAGGTGGAGTACGGGCATCGATTCGCGGATCGATTTATCGCGTCCAGACAAGACGTGATAAATTGATCCCTGATACATCAAACACTACCCGCCGATTTGGCTGTAATTCCCCCGGTTGCCTGATCGGGTCAGATATATTAAGGGTTTGTCTATACACAACCTGGAACTGCACTAACTGTTTTAATCCACACTTTTAATTATTTTGGTGCATCTCTGTATGTGGACACATTTCTATCTATCTTAGGGTCTTATTCTGCTGTCCATCGCTGAAGTATCTGAGGGCCTTCCATATAAAACTGATAGCAATGGTGACTGCCTACACTGTCAGACACTAACACTTTGTGGGAGCAGAGTTCTAATTTTTTTTTAAACTAACTTAATTGTATTGATGTGTTTAGGTTGATTTGTTTCAGAGATGTAGGTTTTTTTTGGGGGGGGGGGTAGAGAGGGTGTCAACGTTGTCAATCCAATGAGGGAAAGGCCTTTCTGAAGAGGATGGTTTGGTAGCGTTCCCTAGTGTATTAACTCCTTTCAGACACAGTGGCCTGTTCTGATTACGTGAAATCAAACAGGGGACACAAGATCTGAAATAAGTCTTGCCCCAAAATAGCTAAAACTGAACTAAACTGATGTTACTTTGATACCATTTTTTGTCTATACAACCCCTTTGTTTACACCTAGGTCCCGATTTTCAGCTGGGCCTCTCTTTGTGCATGTAATGTTTTTCCTTCCTCAGGTAGTTATGGCTGTGTTGTTTCAGTACAGTTAGTTGGGGGCACTAAAGCACGGGCCACTTCTGGAATTCTAGGCCCTGGTTTGAATCTCAAGGTGCTTTACGAACACTAATGAATTAAACTTCATAACTCCTTCAGACTTACTGGGTAACAGAATCCAGGAGCCCTGACCTGCAGTCCGCTCTACTAGGTACTGGAAACACTACCTGCGTCCTCGCCGTCCCCTTCTACACTTCAGTCATTGACTCCATTCTCCTGTAATCCTACACCCTGCTTCGGGTGCTAGTTCACTCATCTGTCAATGTATTATTCACCAGCTCCCTCACTGAGCTAAAAGTGACAGGTGGGGAACGAGGTGGGACTGGACCGATTCATTTCCCTACAGGAATTTCCCCCCTTGCTGTGAAGGGGGAGGAGGGGAACCTTAGTGCATTCTTCTCATCACGGTCTGGTTCCATTCCGTTCTGGGGCAGGGAAGGCTTTGCCTACAGCATGCGGCGGCGGCGGCGGGGGGAGAAAAGGGCCTGATTTTCCAGCCGTGCTGAGTGTCCTCACTTCCAGCTGAAGCACGAAGCTCGGCACCTCTACACGCTAGGACTGTTGGGGGGACGGGCCTGCGGGTCAGGCCAGGGTTTGACTGTGCCCCTCACTGCAGCACAGGAAACTACTCTGATCGCTTCAACTGTCACAACTCCCCCCCCCAAAGGGGGTTTCACAAAAGTCTCCTGCCCCCCCCCCGCCCCGTGCAGGCCAAGCTGCCCCCAGGACAGTCCCCTCTTGAACCCCCCGCGCCCCTTAATCTGCGGAGTCCCGGATCGCGCCCGCCCAGCTCCCCTCACCTGGCGGGGGGGACTTCTGGGGCTGCAGCGCGGGGGGGTTGATTTCAGGTCTCTGCTGCGGCGCCTTCTTGGCGGCTTCTTCCGCCTTCTGCACAGGAAGGAACGTCCCTTG